GATCATATAATCAGCGTAACGTTTGCTGTTTCTGTTGAGAAATGCCACGTTTCAGATAAATTAGGTCTATAAAGTTTTATCAAATACGTACGCTCGGCAAAACAATTGCATCGTGAATTCGTTAACTGATGTATATAATCTGCCGCGCTTTTAACTTTCTGCGGCACAAGTACCTACATCCCTTCTCTTCTTTCCTCCCCTCCCACATACCAATGCCACCTTTAATCTCCTTTCGTGCGCGTACGTATTGTAATTAAAATTTTCTGGAAATAAAATGAGATGAGTGTTTCAAATATTTTTGAATATATCTTTTCCATTCTCTTTCGTTTCTTTGAATACAGTTGTTATTATTATTAGTATTATTATGTCTGTAATAACATATGAATTTAAATTCTTTTTTCGTTTAAATCTCTCACTCTTAAACACATTTTCGCTTATTTAATTTCTAATACATTTTTACCGGAAGAAAATTAATCGCGCAACAGATTGAAAAAAACAAAAAGTTAACCATTTCGTTATTTTATGTACAAACATCAATTTACACGTTCCTAAACGCTGGTAAATGCTTATTCGGTAATATTCCCTGGTTCTATGTACGTATTTTAGCGTCATCGATTTAGTGGTGATCAAAATGGGTCATTTTATCCCAACCGAGGCGCATTATTGCACCGCGATCAGTATAACTTTAAGCATTTTTATTTGTATTTTCATCGTCATCTTTATTTCGTAAGAACTTGAATGGCAATGCTAGCTCACTTCCTATTTTGTTTCATCGTCATGTATTCATCTAAAAGTCGATATTACAAAGAAAAGTTTTTTTATCAACTTTTATTAAAAATTGTTTTCTTATCAGATTATATCATAGACCTTATTAATATATCGCTAAATAATTTTTTAAATAGTATACGGCCGCGAGTATAGTGAAACGAAATTTGCCTTTGAACATTGAACCGAAATTGTAGGTACTTCAGTAACCATGAGGCTCTGCCTGGAGATCTAAAAATAAATACCTAAGCTTAGCGAAGCCATTATTTATTTTTAGCACATTGAATGAAGATACCGTAGAAAAGTGGTATTGATATACACTAACATGATATTAACTCTACGCACTCTACTACCGATAATTATTTAATTTAGCTAAAACATGAATTATATATAGTTGAAAAAAGAGATTCTTAGCAATTATCTGGAATTTAATGGTTTATCTATTAACATTAGTACTACGCAATCTACATTGCGAGATGAAATTCCGGTAGATATTTACCGCATCATACGTTACGTCACGAACGTAGAACATGCGATTGTATTAAAATGAAAGGAAGATTATGCACTTAAAAAATTGCAATCATATCGCCTACCCTATAGAGGGCCGACTGAGTGATAATAATAATCGTCAAGAGTCTCGCGCACGTATGAATGCGATTCTTTTGTTTCAGCGATGTATGCGAATATTGCGAATCTTTCTCTCTCTCTCACTCTCGCTCTTGCTCTTGCTCTCGCTCTCTCGTTCTCTCTTTCATCGTCGTTGAGTTGTGCACACGAGGCACACCGGGCACACGTCCGTTATTCTCGTTGTAAGCGTGCGCGACACGTCGGTCGGTGTGCCCTGCGCACATTGCGCCACGGACACCACGATTCACACCTGTCTGTCCTTCCGTTCATTCGTTCGTTCATCCGGCAGTACAACGAAACATAAATGTCCGCAAGAAGAACGATATCGTGGTGTTTGACTTGGACTTGGACCACCTGGCCGACAGAACCGCCCGTCCGGCAGGGCCGTATAGTCAATCCTTTATGGCTCTCTTATTGTTAGATCGGATTTACAGAAAGCGAGCAGGGTGCGTGGTCAAATTGCAAGTTACCTGGTTACCTTCTTTAAAGGAGGTAAGGGCCAGTGTAACTATTGCCAAATGCCAATAAATACCCATCTTACTTTTGTTGAAATAAGCATGGCAAGCTCGTGCTACTTCAGTCGATTATCTGCTGATTACCTCTTCGTAGTTACTTGAACTTTAGTTTAATCGAACAAGTTATTGCCATTTCTATTTTTTATTTCGATTTCACATATACATGCCTTTAATTATTTTCAAATAAATAATGTGATACCGTTCTTCATCGGGTGTAATAAAATCGTTGTTAATCCGCCCAGGATAATTCGTGGTTTATAGAATTACGTTTGAGATAATAGGTCATACGCAAAACCAATGAAAATATGAATAATTACAAGTTACGTTTGTCAATACCTACACATGGTTGCGATTGTAATTATGGGAAATGGCGGATTATTATTTACCCGCCGAAATAACGCGGATATCATTTGCCACACGAGCAATTTTAAAACAGTGCTTTCGTCGCATATTTCCCGTTACTTGACGAAAGCAAAATTGCTTCTTGTATAGCGTTTCGACGACGAAAAGGTAAGAGGATTCTACAAAAATATTGCTGCGTATTTTTCATTTGCAGCTTTATTCGATGAAAAACATTAGAAATTTATCTTTTGTAATGGAATTAAAACGCATCTTTTTCTCTAAATCTTACAACGCGAACGTGTTAATCAAGTATAGCTTAACATGTGATTCACACAAAGCCGCCAATTTCTCTGACAATTTTATTTCTTCGAATGTAATGTAACGTTGAATACTAACAATAAGTTATTAATTTCGAGTTATTCGAAAGTGGATGAGAACAGATATTTCTACGATATGAATCTCAAAGAGTTGCTTGTATGTAATAAATAAAAAGAACGGACGTTAAAAAAGGTTCCTGCTTACGAACAAGTCAGTAACTATAATATAATAAAGTTTATTCTGTGCATATAAATGTCCGTGTAATATGGGAGAGAAACCAGCCACATCACATATACAGAGCCTCGCGAGAATGCACTGTGTTACGTATATAGGTATATGGCTGATGCGCGTATCGATTTTGGCCAGACTGCATTACTATTGCATCGCGTCAAATTATACGGGCAAGAAATACCCTATTAAATTTAACTAATGATAAATTTTATCGAACGCTAAAATCGCTCATTTTGTTAATATCAACGTACAAATTCGATCAATAAAATCCATTTACACTCTTCATTATAGAATCTTGATTATCAATCTGTATCATGACTATCAATGTTTGTCTGACAAATATGTAAAAGATTAAAGAATATGAGATAAAGTGTATATAATAAATGTTGAGCGGCAATATATTTCTATGAGAAAATATATGTATGCAATGTAATTATATCTCGGTAATTATATTATATATGTTCTTTTTTTGAAGAAACCTGTCTACAGTTTATATATCTTAATCATTAACAGATTCTTTTTGCAATTCATTTTCTACGCATATTATAAAATAAAATACGTACAACATTTACATCAATGAAAAAAAAATCTACATCACTTAGCGAGACAAATTTATGCAGTCAAACATCGTCTGACATTGTGCGATTTCGTCCAAAAATGCTTGCATATTACGTTTTGCGCAAAGATCATGTCTTGCTAGTCAGCTCTTTTTTTCTTTAGAACCGGGTCTCTCGCGTCACACATACGTACCTGCACCTGCACTTTCACAGAGCCAAGCCTGCGAATGCATATTGCATATATCTGCTCGCTTCAAAGGTGAACTTACCTGTGCACTGGTACATGAACCGCGCGCCAACCCTCACGTTCACGCTATGTGTGTGTATAATACGCTGTGGCCAGACGGTATATCTGCGTGCGAGTGCACTAGCACGACGCATCGCAGCGTGCGATTGCACCGATATGACTACCGAGAGTGAACGAATGAGAGCTATCGTTTATATAGATTTCGGGTAACGATTAAAGAACATTCATTTTTCAAATGCGCACGACGAATTACTTTTCATGCTTTTGTTCTCCGTTTTACGATGTAACGAAGCAACGACGTGACATTATACTACTTCTATTGTGCTTCTGACACAACACGACAAAACACTACACGTTCATGGTTGTTCTATATACTGCTTAAAATAGCATATGTAACAAATGATTATTGATTGATAAATGGTAAATCGGTTTTGCTAATTCGCTTCATATTATTCAGAAACTCCTTCTACAAGTAATTTCTAATTCTATGCATGGACATTTATTCCTGAAATATGTCCCGAAAAAATACTTAAAAAATGTTAGTAGCTTTGTGACGAATATTATTTTATCATGATTAAGCCTTATTTCAATAAATTTAAAGAACACTTATAATTCCAATAACTTAATTAGACTATAGATGAGGAATACATGAGTTCTTTTATTTATCGCTCTTATGACGACTGATCTCTAATCACCGTTATTTAGATAAGATAAGGCATTCTCAGTTCTTCAGAAAATGATCTCTACAGTCTATTTCTTTTTTCAAGAATTATCTATAAGTTTAAAATAAATATAATTTAAGTGTGTATCTGTTAATAAATATTTATACACCTACGCATAGTTGAGACACGTAAGAAGTACTCGTATACGCTCGAGGATGAACGTGTTAAATCGTCTTTTATAAATTCTCGCATAATCGCAAGCAGTCTCGCGATATGAAAACAGTTTTGCCATTTCTTCCGAGATTTCATCGGGGCCGTCGACTTTTATACGTGACCCGCGGTCTCGCATAATATTAATTTTGTTATTGTAACTTGCGTATTTCGACTCCTATTTAGATCCTAATATATGTGTGTGTGCACACACGCACGCATGTATGTGTGTATCGTTATTAATGATACCTATATTTAAAAATTTCATCATATACAGTTGATTTTCAGTGTTGCGTGAATTAGTGCAGATTAATGCGCAATTTCTTCGAACTTGTCACTCAAAGATAAGGAATCATCGAATCGTGTATATATATATTTGTATAATGTTGTCAAAAACTACTCCCTGCTTCGACTCTGATGGATTGAAATTTTGAACACCGTGACACATCGACTTGCCGATCTCTGTACACCTTTCGAGGAAGGCATAGAAAAGGGAGAAAGAAAATTGCGAAGGTCGTGCGCTCACCCTCGAGCAGGTGCCAGTCGTCATCGAGCGAGGCCAGTGCCTGTGTCTGATTGGCCTGTTGTTCGAAGTCGAGCATTCTGTTGAGCGTTCTTCTTCGTTCTTCTCTTCTCACCGTCTAGTACCGATATTGTTGCTCCACGGCGTCCCCTGTCCACTGTCTTTTTCACCTTTTAGTCACTCCGATTCGGTTGTCATCCAATTTCGTCGAGTTCAAACTTGTCGATCGTCGCGAATCGCGCACGACATCGATCGGACGAAGATCGGCGCGGCGCGCGGCGCGGCGCGGCGCGGCGAGAGGAAAATCTCAGCGAGCCAGGAATGCTACTCGCGACGACTTTCCCCAGCGAGAGAAGTTAATATCACGCGAGTGAATCTCTTTTGGCGCGAGGGAGTACTGCTCGATCGCGTGTTTCCCTTTCTCGCTTCCCACTCTTTCTGTCTCCCTTTCTCTCGAAAAATGGCCTCACTCTCCTCTGTTTACACCGGGTTTTCTTATCGGTTCTCAGCTGCTTCCCAACCCTGCGCTATATATCGACATACGCTGGACTTTTTATTATCCCAAATCGACTCATGCCCGAAAGATCAACTCACGTCCAGGTCCTTCTAGGACTCGTTTGCTTCCGTTTACGCGCTTACGGCGCATTCGCTCGTCAATGCTGTCCAAGGCAGCACATGAGAGACGCGATTACGTTTACATATATCCAAAGAACAGAGAGAACAAAAGGTGAGGGCGAGAGAGGGGGAGGAGAGGGGGGAGAGAGAGAGAATAAGAGTTCGAGAGAAAGAGGGACGCAGCGTCCGCGAGAGTTGAATGACAGAGAATAAGTAGCGGGAGAACCAGAGAGAGAGAGAGAGAGACAGAGAGGAGTGATGGAGGAAAAAAGAGAAAGAGAAAGAAATAGAGAAAGGTGGACAGCGCGACGACAAACGTCGCTTACATGCATCCGCGGCGGTACTCGAACCGCGACTGATTTCCCCTATCACTCCGTACTCAGCTGCCACCCACGATCCTCCCACCTCACGCCACCTGCTCCACCGATGCCGATCACCCCTCGCCACGTCGCCACCGGCCCTACTTCCCGCTCGCGCTACCACCCACCCGCCACCCGTCTTGCTCGGAGCAACGATGGAACGTCTGACCCGTTCTAACCCCCGTCATTCCTGTCTCTTCTCCCCTGCGCGCGCGCTTCTACGCTTCTACCCTTTCTCGGCGCGTTCTCTCGCCTCTCTCCATCGCCTATATACCACTTCGGTGGACGAAGTGTATCTCACTCGTGGCAGTGTATACCGCATCTACTACCGTTTCTCTCCTGCCCCCCCTCCCTCCCTGTCTCTCTCTCTCTCTCGCCGTCCTCCGTTCACCCTCTCGACAGTCTCGGTCGTCTCTCCTCGTCCTACTAGTTCCTCGAACCTCGAGCATGGTCCACAGCCGTTAATGTAGAGAGAACTCCGCGGAGCACTCGTGAATCCTCTCTTCCACAGTATTTCACGCTGCCTTTCTTCCTCAGACATGAGAAAGAGAAAAAGCGATGGAAAATTCGCTCGCACCCCAACCTCATTCGTTTTGCTTTTCCTCGGTTCTTCGCGTTTTTTTGATCTTTCTCTGCATTGGATTCTCTCTTCGTCCTAGCTTGAACGTAAAACCGACAAGCAGTAAACGCGAGAGCTTATTACACGGTCACCTTGCGCTGGGAATCACGTTTGTCGAGTCTACAAGATGTTGCACGCAGTGAGAGAACGTTTCTTTTTACGAATATGAACGAGCTGAACGATCAATGACCCAGATCAAATCTCATAAATGAACGTAACAGCATAAAGTATAGATCTTGTAAAAATTCACAAAGTGTTTTTATGTATAAGTATGTATTTTTTAAATAAAAACTTGCTAATAGAGTATATATTGGAATTTGTTGAGATATTTATTACTTCGCGAATATGTAATATGCACAACACCTTTTAAGGAAACTGTTACAAGATTATGAAATTATTATAATAATTTTGGTGAAATTGTTATTTAAATTACCTTGTTATATTATTAAAAGAGAGCTCTGTACAATTAAAAATATTAAGAGTAATACATTTCTGCACGTGCGAAAAATTGGATTATGGATGCAAACAACTTATTAATCAATATTTGGATTTTATCATTTCTCGCTTTATCATTCGAAATGACGGTGTACACAAATCTAATAAGATTTTAATTTTCAATACTGCTAAAATCTGTTAGTAAAGTTTCATGTTTTTGACGCATTCTATATCGTCAACCTACGTATATTATGCACAAAAAGTATAAAACAAAGAAATATAGTATATTTCTAAATAATTCAATGTTGTCATTTGCACGAACGCGATATCCATTTTGACAATCATAATCTGAGATTTTCAGCCCAAAAATTATTTTTCTTTATATTAATTAATGTGTACCTACATATCATACTCTTGCTAAAGTATCGCTGCACGTTTGTTTTTATATACATCGTTATGCTACATATAATCTCGTATCCGTGTTTTGTTCAAAATTTGTAGAGCAAAGTTTCGTTTAAGCTCCTCGCGGCCAAAACGCGTAACTCCATTTATCGGTAACCCTCGGCTCATCCATGTTGCGAAGTGAGCAAGGGCTGTGCTGTCCCTAAAACGCGCAAGGGAGGCGAGGGTGGTGCAAAGGGAGCAAAGCGAGTAAGAGATTGGCCATAGAACGGGAAAGGTAGCGAACAAACTACAGCTGCGAGAGGATCCCCTGTACAGCTGCCTCTGTAGACTCCTCTCTCTTGGTATTAGCGAGTATATACTTAGACATCAGAGGAACCAGGAACACATAAACGAAAATGCTTATTTATAAATAGTTTTTTATCAAATATATTGTGATACTTGATCAGTGATAAATTTGAAAAACTGACACTGTTTTTTTTTTAAAGCATTATGCCTAATAATACATAAATATCAAAAAAGATAAGACACGGTGCGTAAACGACCAAGTATAAACATTATATTTACAGTTTAAATTAAATTAAATTTATTTACATTATTTAAATAAATTAAACTTATTCAAATTAAATTAGAATTTGTTAACAAAATTTATTTGTAAAAATTTAATATAGGGTTTGTATAAAAAATTTCCAAAAACGTTTTCACGGCACGAATCTTCTCTTTTCTATGATCAGTGTCTTAAAATATGGATTATCCTATGCGACTTGGAAACAGGAGAAACATTATATGTACACAAAGACTAATGACAGAATGCTATTGGACATATTTCTTTGTGAACATATTGATACTGGCGCGTTCTTTGCATGGAAATAAGTTCGTTACGCGTAAAACTATAATCCTTTAAATAAGATAATGCAAACGATACACACATGCATAGATAAAGCGTAGCACTCGCAAGGTAAAGTTTTACAATCAGTCGTTATTATCTTTCTCAAACTATCTCATGATGTCACTGATGTGACATAGAGTGATATAGCGAATATCTTCTATGTATACATGTCGTTGAATAACGCGCGAATCAGTTCCTTGAGAGAAGAAAAAAGTAACAAGAGAGGAAAAAATTAAGATGCATTCCGCAAGTCCACGGTGATTGTCTTGAGGTGGCGCAAAGTGCAAAGTCCAAAACGGTCGCCCGGCTAAACCGGCTGGTGGCCGGCGACTTCCGGGACGAATGTCGCATGCTCTCGAGTACGGCCCTGTTGGCTCGCGCGCGTCGTCATTTGGCCTCACGCTCTCACCCCCACGCACCTCTCGCCAAGCAGACTATCCTCACGCCACCGCCGCCGCCGCGGCTGTTCTATGCCCCGTGAACGACTCCCCAGTCCCCACTGTCCCCAGTCCACGCTGCTGGCGGCCCGCCCCGCCCCGATCAGAACGATCCTTCCGTCTTTGTTTGTCCGTCTCATCGTCGTGTGGCACTCTCCTCCTTTCTCCTGTTTTACTCATCGCTTATCTTTCTCTTTCTCTCATCCATTCTTTCCTTCATCACACGTACACACACACACACACACACACACGCGCGCGCGCGCGCGCGCGCACTTCTCTCTCTCTCTCTCTCTCTATCTCTGTTTCACCTCCAAACTCCGGTTCTGCATATGTACACTTCTTTTGTATTCGTGGCGATCGCGCAACTTTCGACCGATGCATGGGCACGCGTCGGTAGATTCACGCGATTACGATTGCTAGGTAGATATTGAATAGAGCTCGTATATGTATATTTAGACAATGATCGAATGCGAAGAGAAGCATGATTAATTGATTTGTTCGTGATCAATTCGGTTTACGAGGTAAATGATCTTGCACGTTTCATCATAGGTACTACGAATCTACCACTGATCTCGCGACGATAACGATTAGATTCTCGAACTGGTGCAAAAATGATACTAAACGAAACAAAGTAAACTGACAATAGCAGCGTTGGTAATAGCTCCGATTTGATATCTAGACAATTCGATATCAATGAAAAGACCCATCCTCTGTAAACACAGAAATGATCCTTGGTCGATACGGCATTTTCTTTTTCTTCATGCATTCCGCCACATTATCAGTATCCATAACAGTGGTGAGTCTGTTTTCCTCACTTCGTTGCTTCCACTTCGGTTAGCCTCGAGGACCAGCGGTAAAGCTTCCTTCTACGTTTATCTTCGTCGATCTGTCTCCCGCTCTATATTCCCTCTCTCCCTCCCTCCCTCTCTCTCTCTCTCTCTCTCTCTCTCTCTCTCTGTCTTTCTGTATGCGCAAACTCTTTCCCATCCCACTTTACGCTTGTATGGAGCGCGCACACTCCATTCCAGATGCTCAGCAGTGCCGACAATCTTCCCCACCCGCGACGTCTCGCATACATAATCGAGACAGGCCGACTAAACACCGTACTCTTCATCTACCCCATCGCCGTCAAAATCATTTTACTATTGTTAGCAAATAAGGGTTACCTTACTACCAATGCATTATTTCAGCATCCGGATTGATACGTAGTACGGTTATCGCACAACCATTTTATGTAATGAATCGACCTATGCATAAATCTGCATGTTTATTTCTAAATTTTAGTTTATTCGTATTTTTGATTGATAGCTAGCTTGTGTGTGTGTGTGTTTTATATAAACTGAAAAACTACGGCGCTGACGATTAGCGCTGAAAATAGTCAACGAAAATATCATAAACTTGTGTTAAGAACTTCAGAGAAAGAAACGACTTTACTCAAGATTTAACTCGTGGATGTACATCTACCTCTACCACTCACAATCAGATAAGTGGATAAACAAGATTCGAGCCTTTATTTGTTTGTAAACAGGCTTAGAATTTACTAAACCTTTGATTAATATATAAGATCAGTAAAATCTTAACCTGGCTCAGGTTATTAACATTTTATAAACTGGACAAGATCCAAGTTACGTTGAAATCCCGATACCATTGATATCATTTGATTAGCCACAAGATGCAATGACAGAAGGTATAATCGAGCAATATCGAATAGTATCGATTGAGGTAAATGGTACTGATATTGTGAGTTTACTGCACAGAATTACTCGAGCATCGCTGTGTCGTGTAAAATCACTAGCCCCGCTCGTAAATGTGGGGTAGAGTTGGTTGGTGACAGTGTCGACGACGTAGGGGAACAAAGTGCCGAGCTGCCGAGACGGGGTGGGGTGACGACCATGACGCCGTTGCTGCACGAGCGTGCGGCGTGCACGCTTCTCCTTTCATTTGCTGGCACGCGTGACGTCACCGTATGTACGTGTAATGTGTCGTACACGACGCAGTCTCACCCGATAGCATGTGCAACGTGTAGCGTCCAAGTGTGATTGTACGTTTTTTCCTAGATGTCTGCTTTATTATTCAAATATCTCGAGATCTAAGCGTTACAAACTTGTTTTTTCTTTTTAAAAACTGAAAAGTCTGATATTTTGTTTTTTTTTTAATACGCGAAGCTTAGATGTTAATATAAGTTATCAGATGTCGACGTTTTTAATGATCATTACATGATTGCATGCAACTAATTAGGAGTTTTTAAGCTCTTTTAAGAGTTAAGTTCTTCGTAGATATATATAAGATATATACATATCTTCGAATATGCAGGGAAAGCCTTGACATAATTCCAAAGTAACATACATATACCAACATCTTGCATAAGTTTTTCTCGCATCGTATCTTTCTGGACTGTTTTTTGCAACTCGACTTGTTATTTGCAGCACTGCGTTTGGGTGGCACTTCTCACACAGAGGAGAAGCAACAAATGTTATGCAAACTTGATTATCTCCAGCATATTTTAGTGCGATTGATAACACAAAGGCTGCTTGCCGCGTGTGTATAGTGTAACGGTAAATTTGCTCGTTACATCGCAATGAATTGTTACTCTTGGAGAAATGTTTCTTAGTCTTCTATTCTATCCTGAGATCTAATTGATTTAAATTGATTATTGATAACTTGAAAAGAATATTTCTCTGACAATGAGATATATGTACTAAAGAGATAAATGTTTTAGTTTTTATTTCCACTGAAGCTCAATATACATATATCAACAACATTGTTTGATGTCATTTTATTTGTTGATAGTGTTCTACAATGTGATAATTTACGGGGTAAGCGCTTTAACATAATTCTTGTTAATATGTATATTATCTTTTCGTGAATTAAGAATATTCTTTGTCCTGAAGTCGCGTAAAATATCGTATTTGAATTGTTGTTTTCTGCTTATTGTTATTCTAGCACTAGCTAATCTAGTTACATTTCAATATACTAATGAAATTTGTCAAACAAGTTCGCGTTGCTCGCGGAGAATAGTTTTAATTTTGTAATCTGAAAAGAACATATTAAAAGATTGTGTGCGGTAAACAGGTAGTCAAGAAAAAAAAGATACGAATTTTCCAAGTACCGTTCGTTGACGTAACGTTGTGCAACTGTTTTACTTTTAACTAAATTTGCATTACGGAGCATTTGGCATAACAAGCGATGATTATAAACTCGAAATAAATAGTAATATACAAATGTATAGCAGATAAATTTCCTTTGTGTTAATTTCATCCAACCTACTTTACTCAACCGTCTTCTAATTACTTTCTTTAATATTATAATAAATAGTCATTCTTTCTTATTGCTAGTCGTTTAGCTCTTAGATTAAAAAAAAATAAATAAAGGAAACCACTGTTTCTTTTGCTGTCGTACATAAAAAAGCCTATAAAGTAAAAGCATTACTTTACCTTAGAAATTCAGAGAGCCATACCTACTATAACAATATAATATTCTCATCAATCTAGCTGTACAATCGCATTAAAGCATTTACTGTAAATTATCTCACCAATCATCGCTTCAATATATATCGTAATATAATATGTTGTAATATCGATAATATACATATATTCCTTTCTGTTTTTTTGTCTTTATTTTCTTTTTTAATGACTGATCTTTGCGAGTCTTTCAAGCCTTCATACAAGCCTTGATAGACTTAACGGCCTCCCAATCTTTTCCTAACATCTCAGTTTAAGATAGAAAAGTAATCAGGGCCAAGACAGTGTAACGATCGCCTGTTGTTATCGCGCTATAGAGTTAAGCAAAAATTAGAATTTATTTATTAAGATAATCTCGATGAGTTATAGATGAAGGATAAAATTTCTTTTAAGCTACTTTCCATTGAATTATGTTTCCAATTTCCAACTTTTGTAAATTAAAGTTGTCGAGTAAAAGAGCAATCTAAATTATCCATATTTAAATGGTTATTAAATCATAAAATTGTGTGTGGTATTTTTCTTGGAAAATATAAATAATTCTGTATCTTTGAAACTCTTCCGATCCATGCAGACCAATTACCTATTACGGCGCAATATCGCTGTTATATAAAAAAAATTCCTTGCATATCTATACCAAGTTTTTCACTTCGTAACGTATACCTGTTGCTATTTTCGGACTTTCATCCCGAACCTACCGCAATACCTACCCACTACCCACCTTTACCCGTCAAACAGGGCGTGACGTTCGCACCGGCGGCATCGCGGCAACGGAAGTTTAAATCTCGTGGGCGTCCGAGGGAACGAGAAGAGACCGCTCGCGAGTCTCCATGGTGACCGTGATTTCATCCCGTGACGTCACGAATCACGAAAGAACACGTGGCACAAACAACACCTACGCGTGTTTTTCCGGCTTGGCGATTTTTCAATATTGCGTCATCACAACGCACACACGAGGTGTTTGCGCATGCATTCACGTCATTAAGATGCTTCAACATTTCCGACATGACGTCACTCACGTATTGCATGCGATTCTATATCGATTTTCTCAAGTGGTTTACTTATATCAGCACGGTGTGATATAGACGCTGTGTAAATTTTGTGTATGCGATTATCTATGGATATATAAATACGCGTACGTAATATTTATAAACTGTATAAGGTACACTTTCATATTAAACATAAGATGGATTGTTAACGAATCATGCATTTTTCGGTAAAATATTTTTGCAAATATCTTTTTATCTTAGGTAAAAAATTGAAATGAAAATTCGAATGTCATAGAAAGAAGAATATATTTCGACGCAATGATAAAGTTAGAAAAAAATTTAATACTTGATTGTATTAAAGGAAGCTTTGTGTAAATTTTATTAATCTATTCTATACGTATATGTTTTAAATACTCTTATTGTTTGCTATTTTTATAACCTTTTTATTTTTATTTTTATATTTTTTTGTTTTACGTATATAAAATTATTATAAATTATTTTTACCATTTTAAAATCTCTCTCTCTCTCTCTCTCTCTCTTTCTAATAAATTCTTTTATCGATATGTTATCGAAAAGTCGATTATGGGAAGAGATTTTCTAATAATCGGCACTCTAATAATCAGGGCTATCAATTATATACTATTGTTTGTAGTCCATCATGATTTATGGCATTCACTTCGACCGATATCAACGAAAATAATATATGCATCTAATTCTTAGAGAATTTTCCGACTGATGTTATCATGAGCGAACGATCGTGGCAGCACGTGCCGCGCGTGGTAAATTAACGCGTACTCGTGCACTTGCAGTTAACGCCGCGACGCTATGGCTATGTGAGCGCCATGATCGCCATGACCGACCGTCGATGGCATCGATTTGATTTTTACACGGCATATCCCGGCATTTCCGGCCCGACCGCGACGGGCGACGCGCGATTGGTTACAATTAGATCGAGTAAAATGCATCAACGTCACTCGCAGAACTTATAACTTGTTAGCTCAAGCTCTCGGTCTACAAATGAGACTGTTCTGATTCGAAAAAGGATCTAGCGAATGTTCGTTAAACTTATTGAATGCGACTATGCGACCTGCCGATATAGTGCCGATAATGCCGCGCTGCACCTATGAAAGTGATCGAAGATGGAATCACACACTAATCAGCCAACTAATCATCAGCGCATAGACTGTGTGAGTCAATTATATTACTATCTATATTTCTATACATATTATTTATACATATGTATGTTGTGCGACTAATTTTTATTGCATAGTCATAGTATATTGTACATTTATTTCAATCGACCTCAACCTTCATGACAATTGCATACTTTTGCCATGCGTTTTATCTTATTCATAGGTCGAACAATATTGATGCTTTATCTGGAAAGACAAGTGATTTTTCCACTATAAAAGTCTAGTTTATTCTTAAATTCTTTAGCAGTGCTACTTAAAATAATATAATAATTAATATCATACATATATACATATTTTTAATAAAAAAATTGTGTATTTTCTTTCTCAGTCTCTCTTTGCATAGCAAAATGTCTAAAATACATTATAATCTTGCCGATGTAATATTATTATATTGTTGATATCAAGTAGGTAATATGTTGTACATTTTTTTCTAAAAATACTGTCTTTTAATATTTTTATGTAAAGAAATATTTCGGCTATGAAGCTTAGCATCATAACGCACGATGGCGCCACATTTACCTCTACTGAGTAAAAAGTAAAAATACGAAACAGCTGTGAGCTGACGGCTTAAGGTTATGCGCATAACCTTTTTGCACACACATTTTGTCCTTAAACAAAAGATCCAAGTTAATTCCATTAATTGTGAAAGTATTCGTTCTTTAGTGTGATAAATCGAGACATGTTTCGTTTTGGAGCCAAGCATTTCTTTATCGGCAGAAATTTCAGTACGAAATTTAATGATATCAGCAATCTTGTTAAGGTAAGTAAATGTTAATGTATGATAGCGGTACGTTTGTGTTGTGCTTGTTTTTGACTTACGTAAATATTTCCTAGCTCGAGACGCATGATATTTCGTGTACAAATAATTAAGCAAGTCAACGCATATGTGATTCCTATATAAGATCCTTTTTATAACGTAGAATCACACATAGTATAGAAAAGCATGAAAAATGCGAAAAATTGTCAGAAGCTTTCTATTTTTGTCAATAAATGTAATATCATATGCGATATCTATATCTATTACTGTACACGGATTATTTCTTGTAGAAAAATAAGGTAGTCGTCTTTATGAAAGGCATTCCAGAAGAGCCAAGATGTGGATTCAGCAATGCGGTAGTTCAGATATTACAACTGCACGGCGTTACTTATGATGCTCATGATGTTCTTAAAGATGAAGAACTCAGACAAGGTAAATGATATTACTAATATTTGTTAACAAGCTTCCACATTTACCTATTACATAATTGTATTTTAAAAAGAGAGAATATTAAATTTATATATATATATATATATATATATATATATATATATATATATATATACATATTTAAAACATATATATCTATATATATAAAATTTTAGAAATAATTTGTATTTTATATATATAAATTTATGGAATTTATATACTTTCATAAATCTTCTGTCTATTAATTATTATTGTTAATGCCATAGTTCTGAAACTTATATTAATTACTCAGGTATAAAAGACTTTTCTAATTGGCCCACAATACCTCAAGTATTTATAAATGGTGATTTTGTGGGTGGCTGCGATATACTCTTAGAAATGCATAAGAATGGTGAGCTTATTGAAGAATTGAAGAAAGCTGGAATTATTAGTACTCTTTTGGAAAAAGAAGCATCTTCTCAAAGCGATGTCAACAAATCTAAAGAATAAATTTATCTTAAATAGCTTGTAAATAAAGAAATAGCTGTGTCTCGTATCGACAGAAGGATAGTCACTTTTTATAATAATGAACATTTTTGTTAATGTTAAGCATAATCTTAATCATAACGCATTAATATATATGTGACGATGTTCATCCAATATTTACTCCTTTAAATTCCTTATCAATTCGACTATGGAGATTCAATATTTGAAGAATGAGTTACATATTTTTAAGTTCTTTTCGAAGAATTTTTCCAGATATAGTTTTCGGAATACTTTCTATAACTTGTATATATCCTAATCGTTTATACTTGGCTACACGTTCAGCGACAAATTTTTTGAGGTCGTTCTCGTTAATTTTTACCCCTGACTTAGGAACTACAAAAGCTTTTGGAATTTCGCCATAATTGTCGTGTGCCACACCAATGACGGCGACGTCTTGTACATCATGGTAATTACGAATCACTTCTTCAAGTTCGATGGGTGCGACTTGATATCCTTTTACCTTTATCATCTCCTTCAATCGTCCTTGCACATATAATAGGCCTGTATTTTACAACATATAATAATTCGTAATTATCTCTCCAATCTAATTGTCATATTCTTATTTTTCCAAGTTTCTGATTAAAATTTATCACTTTATTTTACCATCTTCGGTATAATATCCTAAATCACCAGTCTTGTACCAGTCTCCATCCATACTATCTGCTGTGGCTTTAGGATTTTTGTAATACCCTTTCTGTTGCGCAGTGTTATGTAATGACTTACGCCCGGTATTGTGGTTAAGATACGTGTAATTATAAGACTTGAATACAATAGGCAGTGTGTCTTTTAGAAAAGGTAATGCAACGAAAAAGAAACTTTATACACACTGCAACGTAACGAACGAACGAGAGGACAGGTAGAGTACATAGATAGTGAGAGTATATAGTGAAACGCAGTAAGCGCTCACGCAACGGAACTTTAATTTTCCCTAGCATGCGTGGCGTGTCTGTGCGAACATAGAGGCGCTTCAAGGCGCTAGAGCGCCATATTCAACACTTTCATCACTTGCGGACCCCGTATATATATTTCTCCTACCTCGCGCAGACCTAAATTTCTGCCGGGAGTATCATCTTGCGTGCTTACAATTCTCATCTGTGTATTTGGAATCAAATAACCGCACGATGTCGGCGATACATCTGCAGTACCGATTGTAGCAATCGGGGATAGTTCCGACGCGCCGTATCTGTAAATTGTGTAAATTAATGCATGGTAAATTTTTTTTTATATATTGTACAGATCTCTTACGTATATATTTCTAATCGTGATATTTTACCCTTGTCTGAAGATCATGGCATTAGTGAAACGACTTTGAAATTTTGCGATAGATTTTTCCCCAAGCGGTGCAGCTCCTGACAGTATCAATCTTAAAGATTCAACGTGACGGGACGTTATTCGTTCATTTTGCGTCATTATTTGTACGATCGGTGGTACGACATGCAGTACTGTACATCGATGATTTTCAAGCAGTTTTGTAAATCCTTCTATGGAAAATTGTGGCAGACACACCAGCTTAGCACCTATTCTATAATTGTAGGATACATATACCATGATTACACTGATCAAAGTTATAATAAATCTCAATATTTTAAGTATTAAATATCGAAAGAGATATGCTTAAAATAATAATTACAAAGAAGTCATAATCGAATAATTATTTAATATTAAATAAATCGTTGGCGGATCATATTTGAACATCATTTACACATCATAGTCACGCAAATTAGTTACTAGTTAATAGATATGTGTTAACGTACCGCAAGTAATAATACAAAGAAACTATTAACCCAAAAAAGTGATGTACTGGTAATATTAGCGGTATAATATCCTGATAGTGTTCATTCGCTTCTCCAAGGGAGAACATCGGATTCGCGCTTTGAAGAATATTTGCAACAATATTCCTGTAAAATCGTCTTCTAATTATTTACATCAATAGTTGCTTTCGATTTACATCAAAACTCAGATAATTCTCACTTGTGATGTCATTCTGTTTTTATTATTCATTAATTGCAAAAAAGGATAGAACGACGTCACAAGTGAGAATTATCTGAGTTTTGATGTAAATGGAAAGCACCTAATATTATAATAACGGTATATTGAATTTTCGCTACTTTCTCGTATGGAAATTCTGCCGCATTTACATGCGGCATTTATTAGTTGCAACATATTCAATTCAATTTAAATATTTAAGGCTCCTGGAATCTCGTCGCGGTTGTTTTATGGCTTACGCTGTTTATTAACTGTCAAGGGAAAAGGATAGTTTTCGAAATATTTTACAAGTGTGTTAGAGCGGTTAGAAGTGATTTTTTTTAAATCCAAATATCTTTTTATTTAAAAATGGCATGCAAGAATTCTCAGCGTGTCATTTCTCGCCTCTGACGTCACGATCTAACATAGCCGCGGAGAGTACCCAGGAGTCTTAATATGCAATCAATTTGCGCACCTATGGGACGTCTCAATGCCTTTCGGCAAACCAGTTGTGCCACTGGAATAAGGCAAGAATACTGTATCTTCGCAACTTATTCCAGTTTTTTGACTAACTGAAAAATCTTCAATGTCCTCGCGCATGAGGTCATCTAATTTGATTGTCCCTGAGATTGAGCTAGCGTCAGTCCCATCGTTCACAATAACAATTGGTAATCTTATCTTGGAATTTTTCTCAATACTTGCTTTGATGTCAACATATTTAGCTGGAAATGTGAAGATTGCTTGAGCTTCCACGTTCTCCAATTGCCTTTTTATCTCATACTTCGTGTACGCAGGACTAATCAGAGTTGTCTTGAAAAGAACAAAATTGATTGATGACGATTAGGTACTGTAAATTTATGCAGCGACGATTATTTTAATAATTCTAAGAACGAACATCTTATTAGATTATATATCTTTTATTGATGTTAGTTTATTTAATTATTGTAATTAAATAAAATTGTCTAATTTTTTCAGCATCTTCTAAGTTATATTACTGCAGCTCTTTAAATGTGGTAATTTTATCTTACGCGTAAACCGGCTTCATTTGCCGCTAGTGCGATGATGGCAAATTCTGGGATATTTGGTAAAATAATAGCGATGGTATCTCCCGGCAGAAACTTGCATTTTCTTAAACTCGTTGCTAGTTTGCCACATGCTTTTCTCAACTGGCCATACGTATATGATCTACCAGTATTTACGCACACCTGAAATAAAGAAGTTAATTGAAAAAAATAAATTATTTATACAGTTTTACTCAACCATTTGTATGACGTTCATTAACACAGTGAATCTGAGGGTGAACAAAATTGAACTTTGCGTTTAATAAAGTATAATCAAATTACTAAATTGACGCAACATTATTTACGCTATGAACAAGAAAAGCTATATAAATCAAAAAATTATCCGATATAGAACAAGCGTATTTTCTCGATTACTTTATTATTATCTTCGATCGGCAGTCGATCTAACAATAAATATAAACATTTATCGATTGACTTTGATAAACAAACTTGACGAGAACAATAGTTGAATAGCTATTTTCCTTTATTTTATTTATACAATTACAATTATATTTTTGAGTGTTTAAATTTAAATGATAATATACATGATTGAAAATAAGAAGTTATGCTACGACTTTTATCTTATGCTAAAATACTGTTATAAAAAGATTGCAGCATTATGACAGTGTTAGCGAATTTCGAATGTATAAAATTAATCAGTGTTTTACTAATTGTTAGATTGTTTTTCAGATTTTTTAAATTTTTAACATCGAATATCTGTTAATTTTTACACGATCTGACTGCATTTATAAAATTCAATCTGTTTTAACGCCTCCCGCACACGAATTGCTGTAGCCATAACGTAAGACGTACGGCG